AATAAAACAAACAGCAAATCAAATAGATAAGCACTAGGGGTCAGTCTTACTCCAGATCTGAATCTTCCCAGTGTTTAAGAAGCAGCTTTTTATTAACAAAATAATGGATTGTCTTTGTCTTTACAATTGTGTCAAGGATTATGGACTATATGAGCTGTATATGAAGACTAGAGTGCAGCAGAAGGAGAAAATTGGCAATAATTTATGCAGGTGGCAGACTTTTTTTCCTGACGTATTGTACATATACATTTGTGAGTATTTAAAAGAGATACTGTATTTTTAAATGTAAGTTGTATTTTGTATTAACTTTTAAAACGTACGATCTGGCCTAATCCCCCTTCTGCTCCTAGAGAGCAGAATTATTCTATATGGTCAAGTACAATAGTAATATAGAATCTTAGATGTTAACTTTTTTCAAAAAGGTTTTCTTTTATGTTGGAGAAATAGTCACTGTGCAAAAACACTTTAATCAACAGCAAATCTCCAATGAATTGGCTTTTTCATAAGATTGTGTTTTCTAAGGAAATGCAATTTGTAATCATCTTTCTATTTAAGATGTCTTTGCTGGACAATTAACTTCATCTAACTTTTTTCCATTAGGAGTCTGTGGAGAAGAGAATGGGAACAGGAAGAGAAGGGCAGGTAAAACTGTGATAAAAACCCAGGGCTTTTATTCTAAGTTAAACTAATAATGCTAACAATTATTTTTATTCACATATGTTTGGCATTTGTGCCTACCTGCATCTCAGATCTACAGATGAGTGTTTTCCCTGGCGAATACCTTGCAGTCCCTTAGTATGGATTTCATCCAGGTTGTGAGATTTATTTCTTCCAGTCTGCTAAAATATTTCTGCTAGGCTTTATATTTCTGGGTAGAAATAGATGTCAGGCTTCTGTTACAACAAATTGAAGTCTAACCCATTTAGACATTTCAGGATAAATATGCCACAGGGATCCTGATTCCCAGTATCATAATTGGTACTTTATGTGTAGGGATAGAACACACTAAAGTAGGATCACAAATGTTGGCCGTTTAGACTTCGCTCCACATAGAATATATAACATGCTCCCTGTGATACTTTGTTTAACTGGTCAAGGTGTTTGCAGACAGCTTTTACAGGTTGCATTTCAGAACCTTGACTGCACTAATAAGTCTTAGTGGTCCCTGACCACTGGGACCTCCTTCACTTGGGACCTCTAGCCTCACCCCTTGCTGATGGGCCCAGAAGCACCATTTCAGCTCAGTCCTAGGCCTTGAGTCCTTTTCTGACTTAACTCTCCAGGCTTAGTGAGGGCCAGCTTCTTCCTGTGGAACAGATGACACAACTGACTGGAAGGGTAAGGATCTCACCAGCAGCACAGGGCCCAGAGGTCATGGCCAGTGGGTTTTACAGTTCTATCTGAAAAGGAAAGATGAAACTCAGAACCTTGGATGGTGCTCTAGGCTCTGGGAGGAAAGTGTGCTCTAGTAATTCAAGATTTTTTTCCTTGTCCTTTGAAATAGTAACCTAATCTGGTATGCTATGGTCTACGTTTGGTTATCTCTCTCTACTTATGTGCTGTCGTTCTAGATCCTTTCCTTTGTCAGCCCTGTTGTGTGAGCAAACACACAGTTCCACAGGGTAAGCCAAACCTGTATGCATGCCAGTTACTAGATGGTAATTTTAGATGCAGGTCACTGGGTAAAAAAATGGGTGAAAAAGGGAAGTTATTGCTATCCTATTTAGTAAGTGTTCAAAGGCTTTTATAACTGATGCATCTGGTTGGTTCCAGTTTCCATATTAAAAATATAAGTACAGTAATATTTCACCCATAATTGAGACATCATTATGAAGTAGTAATTAGAGGTTTATAATTTGTTAAACAAAGGCTCAGACTTGCATATTAAACATTTGTGACAGAACTATCTTCTTTATTTCTCGGAATTTGGGGTGTGTGGATCTTTTAATAGTAGGTAGTCTGAAAATTTCAGAAGCTATCTCATCTGCATATATAACAAGCAGGAGGTACAAAAAGTGGAAAACTTACAGTCTCATATATGGAGGACTTCCACCAAAAGTGGAAGACTTACTCATATATGACCTGGTTTTTATAGTAAAATTACATTAGTTAATGCATCTGAGCAGTAAAGCAAAAAACCTGTGAACAGTTACTCATAGACTTACAAAGACTGTAGTGACGTGACTATCTTCTCTCATGATTTACTTAGAATTAATGCAGCAATTCAAGCAGAAGTATATGTGTATTTTCTGTTTAGGTTTTCCATTTCTGTTTTAAACTGTCTTTCCATTTATTGCCCCAAGTTCACAAACATTCTGTAATCTACTTACATGTTCCATGTGGTTCTCACAAGTCCCACATTTGTATAGTACACACTTAAATTATGCTTTGTGACAGCCTTTCTTTGTCATCTTATCTGCAGGTGATCCCTAGATCAATTAGAAGAAAGGAAGAAAAAAGGTAATAATGGTGACATTATAATTGAAAAGTTCTGGCATTATCTGCTGAAGTTCTGTTTTTGTAACCAGTTGGGTTTTTTGAGTAGGGGAACTAGTGAACTTGAGTCACCTATGAGTTTGTGTTCTGTGGTTGCATTTTCTTGTGCATGAGATCTGACTGAAACTTTTCCAGTGTTTGAAGTATGGTCTGACAAGGTCTGTTGGGGCTCAGAATACTTCACCAGTCATAAATTATATACTGCTAAAACACTATCTAGTTCCAAAGCCTCAAGCTGTTTTTTTTTCTTCTAAACCCCCAAAATAAATAGCCACTTGGAAATCTCTCATTGATTTATTACTCTCCCAAGTGTACCTGAAGATCTGTGCTCCTTTGCTCTAAGTGTCTCAAGTCTGTCCAACTGTGCATTCAGATCTAGTGTGTCCTCTGCTGTTAAGCAGAAAAAATGTTACCATCCGTTTTGTAGAGAGGTAGCACAGGTAACATATTACCTGTAAAAGTACCTTTTAAACCTTTTGCGTTTTTCTAAATTTTCTTTCTATTTTCACTCAGGTTTTTTAGTTCTCTGAGGAGCAAGGTGCTAGGAAATTGTTCTGGCCCTTCGTATTCTCTTGATTGTCCTAGTAAGCTTGTAAATGTTATAAAGTCCCTAAGTCCCTACACTTTTTTAATCAAACTGATGACCATGCAGAGAAGGTACACCTATATTAGCAGAATTAAACTAAGTGTGAGTATGTCTTATCAGATACCAGACAATTGACCATTGCAAGTCTTTATGCCCTAGTCATAAAAAATAATTCAGTCACAGGCAGCAGCATCTTGGATACTAATGCCAGTGAAGGAAGAAACATACTTAGTCATTCCTGTGTGCAAGGCTCTATTTTTGAGCATTTCTTATTAATGTTCTGTCTGGGCTGAACTTCTCTGCCTGCCATCTCCCAGCGACTGTGACCATCTTTGTTTTCCTTCCTGGTCTTTCCCATCTCCTACACCTTACTTCTCAGTCAGTCTTCATTTCCTCTCCTGGAGAGAAAAATCTTTCTGCTTCTGGAGACTTAGAGTACCCCCTTTTCTTGCAGTGATTAAAGGGTTTCATTTCTCTATCCCAAGATCTTCCCTTTTTACATCTTCTCACTGCTCCCTACTGCCTGCAGGCATTCTTCTCTGCCCGGATCTTTCTCCTCTTGGAGTGTATTCTTGGCAGTGATTTATCTCTTTTTGCCCTCACCAAGGACTTCCCTTTTTCCTTTTGCCCTGCCTTTACCTGACACCAGCCAGAAGGTGAGATGGGAAAGCTGCCTTATCTGCATGGTGTAAAAGGCAACTTCATGTCTCCTCTGACAGGCTTGCAAGCCATTGTGAGCTGAGGTGGGGCCCTCAGCCTGCTCCATGGGGTCTCTTGTACTGGCTGAAGTGACACATCAGAGGAGTGTTGAGCACCTTTCAGCTTCTCTTACCTGTTCTTCTTCCCTTTTCCTCTTCTCCACGTCTCTGACTTCACCCTATTTTGCCTTCTCCTCCTTCCCCTTTCTCCGCTAGACTTGTTTAAACGTGTCCACTAACCATTTTATTCTTGCATAACACTTTACGGAAGCATTCGTCTTTAAAAATCCCATTATCTTAATAGCTTGCCTTTGTGTCCTGTTTTCTGCCATTTCAGTGCTTTTATTTATTTTTACGTATACAAGCCTGGTCTTGAAGGGAGGGAAAGGCTTGCAGATGAAAAACAAACAACAACAAAAACAAACAAACCCCCCTAACCTGTAATACTGTATTTTTCTGCTGACACCTTTCCAATGCCTATGATGCATCTGAAAGAAACTGACCAGTCTCTTTGGACAAGGCAGGTGGACCGGACCCTGAGCACCTCTTCCCGGGTTTGGCTGTGCTCAGGAATG